CTGATGCCCCACCGGGCCTCTGCACCGGGATGCCGAAGGGAAGGAACCAGTACTGTTGCGATGAAAGCATGGGATGGAGGACGTCACCTCTCTCCATCTGTAAGCCAGAGCTGACCTGGGAGCTCGAAGAGTAGAGAGATTTACCAGAGAAACATTAGCGTTTACCGATTGTGTATTTAGCTCCCCGGGAACCTGGTCTGACGTCGACCACACTGGGGCCACAGTCGACACTTGGAGCTCGGTAATTGCTGTTTGTGGATTGCCAAAGTCCAGCAGCTCTCTCTTGGCTCTTCGCGTTCCCACGCCTTCTCTGGACTCCTCATAATGTCCTGCACTAGCAAGCACTAATTGTCTGGGGAGAAGCTGTTCCTTGAGATGATAATGACTGTTCTCATCCCCATCTGTGCATAGTGCTGACCTATGATTCCTTTAGGCGTTTGCCATTTACACATGGAGCTCTCTCAAGGCAGACCCTTTGGGGGAAAACAGAGAAATTAAAATGTCTGTGCTAACCTGGGCAGCGTTCTCCGAGGGTGACCGCATCACCCTGTTAGAAACTTCTTGAAAACTCAGAACGTAGAGAAAGTCTTCCATATCCCAAGATCAGTGTAAATCAGCCATGAGACTTGTGAGTACCAGTGCCACTGTTCCCACAGCCCTGTATCCCACCCCCTGTCGAAAAACACCCCTCTTATAGGGGTACCAGTGACTTGGTATTTTTAGATCTGTGTAAGAAAGCGCAATGGAAATTAGACTAACAGTTAAGCTTTCTCCTTGCTAAGTACTAGCACACAGTCCTGCTGATTGAAGAGCAGTCTGCAAAATTCTTGGGGCAGTTTTCTCCTCCCGAGCAGTTTTTGGCTGAAGTCGCTGTCAGTACGCTACCTGCTGTGCTTTCTCTCTGTTTCGAGCAGGATCCAAGGGAGCAGACCCTTCTCTTTGTCTGCTGCTGCCAGAGCCATTTTAGGAATGGGCAGATGGGGAGATGATGGTGGGAAGCAGAAGCTCACCCTGCAGGATGTGGCAGAGCGAATTCGGAAGAAGGAGTGTCGCCGGGTGGTGGTGATGGCTGGCGCTGGGATTAGCACCCCCAGCGGCATCCCGGATTTTAGGTAATACTTCCATCTTTCATTTGTCCTTTTTCAGTGCTGGGAGGGACGAGATCTTCAGTTTAGATAAAGCCAGTGCCTGGTCCTCCTCTCGCCCCTCCATTCCGTTTGTCTGTCTGACTGGGGCACACCTCTGCAGCCAGGAGAGGGTGGGGTGGCAGTGGAGCAGGGATGCGAAGCAGGTTCTCCTTCTGTGCAGAGGTAGTTTCAGCTGCTCTCCTGACATGCAATGGACAGCACAAAGCGGGCAGAGAGAACCCAAGGACCTGGCTGTCTGCTCTACCGCGTCTTGGTATGGTGGGTGGCATCTCTTCCTGCATTCTGACTGCCAGCCCCTCTCCTCTCTCTGCAGGTCCCCGGGGAGTGGCCTCTACAGTAATCTTGAGCAGTACAACATCCCGTACCCAGAAGCCATCTTTGAACTGATGTATTTCTTTGTCAACCCTAAGCCCTTTTTCACTTTGGCCAAGGAGCTCTACCCTGGCAACTACAGACCCAACTACGCCCACTATTTCCTGAGACTCCTGCACGACAAGGGGCTCCTCCTGCGCCTCTATACCCAGAATATTGACGGGCTGGAGAGAGGTGAGTGTTCTCTTCCCCATCTCTCAGCCGTAGAGCATTGGGAAAAGATGAGGGTGAGAAGCAGAATAGGAGGCAGGGCTGGGGAAAATGCCCAGTGAATGTGGAGCTTCTGGTTCGGTCACCTCACGCTGAGCTGGTCCTCTCCCATGCGCTGTGTTCCAGTTGCTGGGATCCCTCCTGATAGACTGGTGGAAGCCCACGGCACCTTTGCCACTGCCACTTGTACGGTCTGTCGAAGGAAGTTCCCAGGAGAGGACTTCAGGGTGAGTGGTTGCAGCTGGGCATTGACACATAAATTAATGCAAGAAGAACCTGTTTGCAGGCCTGTTATTTTGCCCTCAGGGCCAAGAGGTTTTATTGGAGGGAACCAGACTTGGGGCAGGATGTTGCAGTGAGGATGTGTTGTGGTTCTGACCCTGCTCGTGCAACTGTGTGTTCTCCTGTAACGAGCGGTGTTGGGTGCTCTTGCTTCAGGGGGACGTCATGGCAGACAAGGTCCCTCACTGTCCTGTCTGCACTGGAGTCGTCAAACCTGACATTGTGTTCTTTGGTGAGGAGCTCCCGCAGCGCTTCTTCCTGCACATGACAGACTTCCCCATGGCAGACCTGCTTTTCGTCATCGGAACATCCCTGGAGGTCCGGGACTAAGGGAAAGCCCTGCTCACAAGGAGAAAAAGGCACACAGAAAACGGGGCCTGAGGGGAGAGAGGGTTTAGAGGAGAAGGCGAGACACCGGGTTAATGAGGTAAAATGCAAGATGGCAGGGTAAGAAGTAGGGTGCATGTACTCTGGGACCCTCTGAAAACCCTGTGTGCTCCTGGTAAAGGTGGGCACCTGGAGACTAAGTGGTGAGTTTTCCAGATAACTGGTGACATCCATAACCTGTTCCAAGCTGGGGTAGCATAGCCCATGGTGGGAGGACTGTTAAACACAGCGGTTACAAGCGTAGTGTGTAGTGAATTCATGCCTGTCAGCGGGGTGACTGTCCCTCTCTGCCCCTTCGGGCTGCCTTCCTTCAGGTGGAGCCCTTTGCCAGCCTGGCAGGAGCCGTCCGCAGCTCTGTTCCCCGCGTCCTCATCAACAGAGATCTCGTGGGACCCTTTGCCTGGCAGCAACGCTACAACGACGTAGCCCAGCTGGGGGACGTCATCAGCGGGGTCGAGAAGCTGGTGGAGCTGCTGGACTGGAATGAAGAGATGCAAACACTAATTCAGAAGGAAAAAGAAAAGGTGGGAAAGGGCTCAGAGCCCTGTCTGCCTCCCGCAGCCTTCTCATTCCTTGTGCTGGAGTTATTCCAGGGGGAGTGGGTTTGTGCTTGCTGGGGTTGGACTTGCACCACAGATATTACGATGCTTGCAGTCGGTGTTCAGAGAACAGTTTCTCCCTTGGTTTAATGTGTGTGCTGCTCCAAATCACTGATGGATGAAGCTGGTGCAAATGTGGTAAAGTGTGAAAAACAAACTCCCCCTTGCTCTGGGATTTTGGTGCTCGGAAGCCGCGCTGGAAGGTTTGAAACACCTTAGCAAACCCTGTGTGGTCTTTCTATTTTCAGCTGGATGCAAAAGACAAATAGGACAGCTGGCTCCCTGCTGCTGGAGCGCGATGTTCACCTTGAAAAGGAGATGTTGTCGTGCCCAGCATGGGCAGAGGAAGAGATGACGGCAGGGAGCTGTGGAAGCGGCGGTGGGGCTCTGCAGCAGCAGATCTGCACAGGCAGGGCAGGAGGGGATGCTCGTGGCTCAATCCAGGCTGGAGGCGGCGCAGAGGGGCCCTCACCCGCGAGGGGAGGGAAGCCCAAATGCTGAGCTGCAAACAGGTTCTGCACATGACGGCTTTCCCACCTGAGACTTCAGAACAGTTGATGCAGCCACCGAGCACTGTTCCCTCCTCCTCTCTCATTTCGGCACCCACTAGGAGGGACGATCCTCTTCCACGGCACTGGCTGTCACCCCATCAGCACGCTGTTTGACCGCATCCAGCCACGAGAGCTTCACCAGGAAGTGGCCAGGAGCCCACGGGCTCGCACCAGCGTGTCGGAGGAGCTGTGCATCTGCAGCTTGCCGTTTGGCTCTCCCTCCTCAGCCATCCAGCCGCGGAGACCCTCGGAGCGCCCAGTGTGTGAGGGGCAGGAGCTGAACATGCCAGGAAGGTCAGGCCTGAGGCAGGACAGTCTGGAGGGAGTTTTCCAGCTCCCCACACCGGCCTGAGCACCTACCAGCTCCCTTCACAGCTCCTCCTCAGACGGTTTTCTCTCAGCCATCACCTTTCAGCTGCTACAGACTTACAGTGTTTATTCTCCAAATAAGATCACTGCTAATCAGAGGACAAATGCCGTCGTGGGGGGAACTGTCCCCATGCCTGTTCAGGCAT